GTGGTCCCAGCTACTTGGGAGGCTGAGGCAGGAGACTCGCTTGAGCTCAGGCATTAGAGGTTGCTGTGAGCTGTGATGCCATGGCACTCTACCCAGGGGAATAGTTGAGGCTCTGTCTCAAAAAAAAAAAAAGATTTATTTCTTCCTTTCAATTCCAAGGTGACTTGGAGTCATTTTCTTGATATTTCTGGTCTTTGGGGTTCATTAATCTATTAGAATTTGTGGGTTTATAATTTTCATTAAATTGGAACATTTTTACCACTGTTCACTCAAGTGTTTTGACTGTTCCCCACTTGGTTGTGTAAACACGAGGGTACATGAAGGTGCTCCATGGCTTGCTCACGGTCTGCACTGTCCTGCTGGCTGTTTCCACGTCTGCTGTTAACATCTTCAAGTCACTCATCTCTTGCAGAACCTAATCTGTTATCTTCCACATTGTTCTTTTTCAACTCAGGTGTTGTAGTTTCATCTTTAGGTAGCAGATTCCTAAAGGGTCAGACAGTAAATATTTTCAGCATTGCAGGCCACAGGGTTTCTCTTGGCTGTACTCAAGTTTGCTGTTGCAGCTCAAAAGCAGACACAGATGGCCGGGCTCAGCGGCTTACGCTGTGATCCCTGCCCTCTGGATCGTCCTCACTCAGGAGGTCAAGACCAGCCTGAGCAAGAGTGAGATCCTGTCTGTGGTGGGCCCCTATAGTCCTAGCTACTTTGGAGACTGAGGCAAGAGAATGGCTTGAGCCCGAGGGTTTAAGGTTGCCGTGAGCTGTGTTGCCAAGGCACTCTACCAAGGGGGATGGTGTGAGACTCTGTCTCAAAAAACAAAGCAACAAGTAACCAGGTGTGATGGCTCATACCTATAATGCCAGCACTCTGGGAGGCTGAGAGGGGAGGATTGCTTGAGCTCAGGAGTTAGAGACCAGCATGAGCAAAAGTGAGACCTCTCTACTAAAAATAGAAAAATTAGTCAGGCATTGTGGTGGGTGCCTGTAGTCTCAGCTACTTGGGACACTCAGATAGGAGGATTGCTTGAGCCCAAGAGACTGAGGTTATTGTGAGCTGTAATGCCACGGTATTCTACCCAGAGCAACAGAGTGAGACTCTGACAAAAAAAAAAAAAAAAGAGCAGCATAGATGATATGTGGTTCTGGGCTGCTTTCACTGGAAGCGTGGCTGCTTGCTGTTCAGAGGTGCTGCTGGCCGTGCATCTCAGGCTCTGTGTGATGACTATCTGTCACAGACACCAGACACCATCATAGCCACCATGGGGCTCTGGTCTTGTCCTTCTCTCTGGGCACTGTGGACTTGCTGAAGGCAAGGAATATTGCTGCCTGCTCTTCTGGACCATGCTCCTGCACACAGAGTGGGGTCAGCTTGGTGCTTGTTTTTGGCTCGAAGTAGATATGTATTTGTGGCTTTGTCCCAATAAAACTACTTGAAAAACAGGTGGGCAGGGCATGATTTGGTCTGTGGGCTCTGGTTTACTGACCCCAGCTTCAGTTCAAGCCCTTGGTCTGCTGAGTTATTTAATATTTTTTCTGATCACCCTGTTGTAATTGTTCCCCCAGACCATTGCCAGTTCTACCTTGCTTGCCACACAGATCCCACGTTACTTACAGGCTCAGTGCCTCTGGCCCCTACAGCATAGCAAATAAAGGTCAGAGTTATCTTACCCTCAGTGCCTCCAGAAACCAGCCATCCTTACATGTTCATACTTACCAGCGGTGATTCTCATCTGTCAGCTCACAGTCTGCTTGATAAGCCTCCCCTGCTCCCTGATACTTTCTTAAGCCCTGCATTTTCTGGGGTGCTCTATGCACCTTCCAAAACCATCGCTTTTCTGGGAAGCCCTGTTCAAGGCCTGTGTTCTGTAGGGAGCTTTCCAGGGCCCTCAGCAGGAGGTCCTTTCTCCTCACCCATGTCGCTGGGCATGTTCTTTGGAAGCTCCAGCACAGGCTGCCTCCATTTCCTCTTTGTCAGACGCCTGTCTGTGTGTCCCTGAGGAGTTAAGGGGGGCGCCCTCTCCTCTGTATCCACTGCAGTCCATGCAGAGCCCGACTCGGTGCTTGTTGAAGGGACGTGTAGTGATTATTGTTGGTGCAGGGGAGTGTTGCTCCCTCGATTCTCATTCCTCCTTGGGACTGTGTGTGCTGGCCTTCTGAGGAGGTGGGCTGAGGGCGGCTGCTGGGCCTCCCCACCCTTGGTGGTGGCAGGGCCTGGCCACTCCCACCAGCCTTCCTGCTGCCCTTTCCTCACCTGCCTCTCACCCTTTGGTTCCACAGAGCTGCGGTGCAGCCCGGGGCAGTTTGCCTGTCACAAAGGTACTATCCAGTGTATCCCCCTGCCCTGGCAGTGTGACGGCTGGCCGACCTGTGAGGATGAAAGTGACGAAGCTGACTGTGCAGGTGAGTGTCTGTCAGGCAGCTGGGTGACTAGGCCACTCCTGCAGGCGGGGGCAGTGTGGCCTGGTCACCGGGGCTGTCTCCACATGATGGAAAGTTAGTGTGAGCTGAAACCCTCCCTCTCTCTGTCTTCTTAAAAGTAGGTGCCCAACATAGGCAGATGGCAGGGCCTGGGCAGTGGGGAGCAAGTGACGTGTCCGGGCTGCACAACGAAGGAGGTGCTGCTGGCCCTGAATGTGTAGGGCCCTGAGAGTGGGCACCTGCCAAGGTCTCTAGCCCCTGCCCGCTCTGGCCTCACCGTGCTCCTGGCTCCTGATGTGGGTCTCTTTTTAGATGTGGCTGGGTCCCCCCCGTCCCCCACTCATTCGCTAGTAACCTCTCACTCCTGGGATTTCCCTGTCCACGTGCAGCCTCTTACAGATGGAAAAAGAGGCCATAAAGGTCTAAGCCGTTTTCCGCCTGGGTTTTGCCCCAGCACCCTCGGGGAATCTGACATGCCCTACACAACGGTGCTTACTACATCCATCGTCCTCAACTTGGATTGGCTGAGAAGTGCAGCTTCTGAACACACATGCACACGCAGGCTTAAGACTCCGTGTGGTTCTGGGAAAGCCCCTAAGAGGAAGGTGTGTTACCCCAGCTTGAAAGTCACAGGCCTACATACTTGGTCTGTGTTCAGACTCCTTCCGTCTAGCAGAGGTCCTCTCAGCCAGCTTGACCTTCACTGCCTCCCTCTCAGAGGCTTAGCAGATTGTCTCCTGTGCACACTAATTCATAATTTCCTCGCTGCATGCTTCCTGTATGCTGTTCTATTTTCTTGGAGTTCCCTTATTCTGTTTCTGCTTAGACAAATCCTCCTGTCCCTCCATGCCTGGCTCGGTGCTGCTGTGCTGAGAGGGTGTCTCTGGCCCCTCTGGCTGTGGGTTGGCCTCTGCCAGCCCTCCCTGGTCCTCTCTTACACCATCTAGAGCCACCAGCATTTCTCACCGTTCCTGGAGGTCAGGCTGAGTTCTCCTTCCAGACCACAAGCTCCCTAACAGCGGGAAACTTTTGCCCTTCCTCGGTGGAACCTGGCATAGAACATGAAAAGTGTCCTGTGATTCCTGTAGACCAGTGGTTGAACTGGAAAAACTAGTTCATACCAATTAGAGGGCTGGGGTCCGGAGTCAGATAGAGGACGACATCTAAGCTTGGGATAGTCTGTGAAGGGGGTTCAGCTCCCAGATCAGAAGCAGAGATGGTTGGGCAGCATTTCTCCAGTCTGTCTGAAGAGTGCTGTTCACGGGGCAGCATAATTCCATCCCTGAGCCTGCTGCCCTTCAGACTCTGCGTGTCTGTGGGGGAGGTGTTTGAGTGGCGACAGCCCAGTCCCGAGCCCCTGGACAGCCTGTGTCTGGTGGCTCCTTGAAGGCCCAGTGTGCGGGACGCAGTTGTCCCATGGTCAGCGAGCATCAGGCACCACGTGGATGTGGGTGGGAGTTCTGTGGTCTGCTCACAGGGTGAAACCTGACCCAACCTCCTGGAGAGAGAACCAAGCGGTTCTGGGCTGCTTTCACTGGAAGCGTGGCTCGCTTGCTGCTCAGAGGTGCTGCTGAACTTGGTGAACGCGAGGAACATTTCCGACTGTCCTTCTGGACTGTGCTCCTGGGCACAGAGAGTGGTCAGCTGGACCGGGCTCCCACACACACAGGGGGGTCAGCTCGGTGCTTGTTTTTGACTTGAAGTAGCATAGGTTGCCATGGTTTCGCCACAGACAAAAAATAAAATCTATCCTATAGAAGCCCAGGATTGCGACTGGCCTGCTCCAGCATGGGAACAGGGAGGGCAGGATGACGGGGAATCGTGTGTGCAAACTCCTGGAGGTGTAGCAGGGGTGGGCGGGAGGGGTGGTGTTGGTGCAGATGGAGGAGGCCATTGCTCTGTCAGGGCTCCCCTGGCCTCCCCTTGACTCAAGATCCTGTGTCTGCCCTGTGATGTGGAGTGTGTCACAGTAGGGGGTGGTGGGGGTGGCAAGCAGATTGATTTCTGGTGATTCTTAATGTTGGGATTCTGAGAAATTTAAGTTATAAAAATATACAAACAGGCCAGGTGTGTTGGCTCACACCTATAATCCTAGCACTCTGAGAGGCTGAGGTGGGGGTCATCACTTGAGACCAGGAGTTTGAGGTCACAGTAAGCTGTGATCGTACCCTGCACTCTACCCTGGGCAACACAGCGAGACCCTGTCTCTTTTATAAAAATACACACACATTATGGAACTCATCATCTTACTTTCCTGAATTAATGACTGCTAAAATTACATCCTTCCTTTCCTAGTTTACTTTAAAAGAAATTAAAAAAACATTGTGGATATAGAGTCAAGTCCTCATTAACATCTCCCTGCCCCCCACCAAATAAAAAAAGAAGAAAAATCTTTGAGGAGAATGAGGGGATCAGCTGATACTTCTGTTCCAAAGGGGCCTTGGTATGTGAGGAGCGGGAGTAAACGGCCCCATGGGGAGCCCAGTCCCCCTGTCTGATTGCTTTAGACTGTAAACATCAGGATTTCTAGAGCGACCACACAGGGTTATTTCATTGCCCTGCTGAAAGCATGCTAGGAAAGAGCATAAAAAATAGAAAACCATGGGACAAAGAAAATGAGAGATGTAACAGCAAACCAATAATTTCAGCATGCTTTGGAAAGGTGGGAATCAGTGGTGCGCTGGACTCAGCCTGGGCCCTTCCCTGTCCTTCAGGGGCTGGAAGGCGGGGTCTGTAGCCCAGACGACCCTGCCAGCAGGCCTCTGGACATCATTCGCCATGAAATACATCTCAGGACATGTAAGAAGGGGCAGGGAGACAGCGCCCTTTCTCCTGGGGCAGTGGTGCAGGTGCCTGGGCTCAGACCCAGGCTGGTTTTCATAGGGGCTCTGCGTTCTCCCCCTCACCAGCCGTCTCAGGGCTGCAGAGCAGCTGTGATATTGGCAGCAGTATCCTGCAGTTTCCTAACCTGTGGACGGCAGCAGTAGCTTCAGAGGTGAGATGGAAGGCCGGAGTGGCCGCTTCTGCTCGCATTCTATCCTTGCTAGTTGTTTTGAAAACACCAGATTCTCCCTTTGAGTTTGAAATGGCTAGCATGGTTTCTGTTCCCCTAATGGAGCTGTAATTGATATAAATAGGAATTGACAAAATATGTATGTAATTTTTAAATGGTAAAAATTTATAACTTTATTAAGGGACATTAAAAAGGACTTGAATAAATAGGGATAGGATGTTCTTGGCTAGGAAGACTCAGTGCCTCTTTATTCTAAAGCCCCCAGAGTTTGATGGGGCAGTGTGACAAGTTCATTCTAAAATGTTGAGATCCTAACATTGGTAGGTCACTTTGAAGGAGGATAAGGACAGAGCACTTGCTCTGCCGGTTCAAGGTGCACTTTAAAATTGGCTCGTGGAGAGTAAATTGGCTAGTGAGAGACAGCATGGCAGAGGTGGAGTCCCTGGGCTCTGGGTGAAGGATGACTCTGCATATACAGTGCCTGACCAGTGCCAAAGGGTGGGGCTGGATCCCCAACTTAGAATAAAGAAGAATCAGTTAAAAAAATCAGTCTGGAGTAAATTAAAAACTTTCGAAAGACAATCTAGGAGAGTATCTTCATTATGACTTGGATAGGGAAGATTTTATTGATTCATTTATTTATTTTTATTTTTTTGAGACAGAGTCTCACTTTGTCACCCTTGGTAGAGTGCTGTGGTGTCATAGCTAACAGCAACCTTAAACTCTTAGGCTCAAGTGATCCTTTTGCCTCAGCCTCCCAAGTAGCTGGGACTACAGGTGCCTGCCACAATGCTCAGCTATTTTTAGAGAGAGGGTCTCACTCTAGCTCAGGTTGGTCTCAAACCTGTGAACTCAGGCAATCCACCCACCTTGACCTCCCAGAGTGCTGAGATTACAGGTGTGAGCTACTGTGCTTTGCTGAAGATTTTTTTTGAATCGTAAATAAATATTGACTCTAAGACAAAAATGACCAACTTTACCAGATTAAAGTTAAGATGTTTTCAGATTAAAATTAAGATCTTTCTTTTATTAAGAGACACTGATAATGAATATGAAAAGATAAGGCAGAGACTGGGGAGAAGATACTTGAAGCACTTCAGCCTGTGGAGGGCTACGACAGAGCATGTAAAGAGCTCCTTGTAGGGACAAAGGCGGAAACCGGCATTGCCTAGAAAAATTAGTAAGACTAGTGATTGAACTTAGAAAAACAAACCATGGTGTATGTGTACCATGGAGTACTATTCAGCCACAAAAAGATGAAGACTTTACATCTTTTGTGTTAACCTGCATGGAGATGGAGCATATTCTCTTTAGTAAAGTATCATAAGAATGGAAGAACAAGTATCCAGTGTACTCAATACTAATATGAAGCCAGTAGATGAACTAATACATACCCACAGAAGGGAAAACTCAATTCAAGTTGGGGGGGTGGTGTGCTCCCACCAAGCAGGCACAGTGTGAGGGCCTCCTGGGGGTGGGACCAACCACACACACAGCAGGGGCCTCATCTAACAAACTCAGATACTGTAACCTCATCGTTGGACCCTTTTGTTAATTTGAAATAAAAAAGAAATGCTCAACAAACTAGGAATACCGGGAAGCTGCTTCAGTGTAATAAAGACCATAGATACAAAACCTATAGATGGACTGACAGCTTTTTTTTTTGCAGTTTTTGGCCGGGTCTGGGTTTGAACCCACCACCTTTGGCATATGGGGCTGGCACCCTACTCCTTTGAGCCACAGGCTCCACCCACCAGACTGACAGCTTTTTTTTTTAATTTTTAAGTTTTATTTTTATTTCTTTTTTTAGAGACAGACTCTTACTTTATCACCCTCGGTAGAGTGCTGTGGGATCACAGCTCACAGCAACCTCCAGCTCCTGGGCTTAGGCAATTCTCTTGCCTCAGCCTCCTGAGTATCTGGGACTACAGGCACTTGCCACAACACCCAGTTATTTTTTGTTGCAGTT